TTTTTTTTACTACAAGTGATGAGAGTATGCAAGAGCAAGAGCAGCCATGAAGCAGGTGCAAAAAATTTAAATGTCTGTGGATTTTCTTTAATAAAAAAGAATGCAGTTTTTAGTCCCCACCCCTGTGACATCATCTTATCATTATCACCTCTGCCTTTGCTACCTAAATTAAATTGAGCAGTATCTGAAAGGATCAAAATACACAACATGCAACAATTCTCTCCTCCACAGAGGCTCCATAGGGGAGGGGGAGGTGAAATGTGAGTGGGAAAGCACACATGTACAGGTCTGTATTATTGCACTGCATTATTCCCTCTCCCAAGAATTTTCCGTTTCTGGAGAAATGGGGAATTCAGTTTGCCAAAAGAAGTCTTTCCCCAGGGGCCACCTCCTTGCATTAATTTTGGGCTTTTTCAAATCCCCCAAGGTTAATACTTCTACAGGCAATCTAAATGTCACTCCTATAAGATTGATATATGATATATTTCATTTTCTTTACTTCATATTAGACATGGAAAATATTAAACATTAACACATTAACACATTGAACATTAAAAGAATTCACAAGTACTTATCATGGACCAATGGAAACTGTCTGCCACAGCTTGGGTCTACATTAACTGTCAGATTATTTACAAATAATTCAATTATTATCCAATGACTTGTGTTTACATTTACATGCAAAAATACACTCCAATATTTTCTTTTTCCCTTTTTGTACATTGGCTCTTCTTCTCAATCTTTTTTGGTTGTCTAATTAACCTATCCATCCGTGCTAAAGATTGATATTTTTCTGACGTAGGAAAGTATTACAGTAACTTCAAATGCAATTCCTTCACATTTTGTACATCAGATAAAAAATGACAAAATGGCTCCTTTAAGCAGAAGACAATGAGTTCTGTAGATGTCTGGAAATGATACTGTAAAACCTCTGTGGCACTGACACTGAAATTGACCTCACCAAGATATCCAGCTCTATACATAGTACACCCAAGTGTGGTAATTTCATATTAGTATTTAATATGTTCCACTTTAGTGCACTTTTATTACAATTTAATAATGCCATGTTTAATATTTACCTCGCAATAGAGTCCTAAAGTGTGACGTCACAAAAAATAATTTTGAGAAATTATGGGATTTGGCACCATTTTAAAATAGAGCATCCTTAAAAAAGGGTCTTTGCCAAAAATTACCTCTTAATTGCAATTCCCAGCCGAAATATAAAAGCTGAAAATTTGGTACTGCCCCATATAAATCTCTCTAATTTTGAGTCAGTTCTAAACTGAAGGAACTGAAACAAATTTTGAAGGGTTTGTATGGGGTGCTATCAAACTTTGATCCCTTATATCTCTATCGGGAATTGCAATTCAGAGATAATTTTTGGGATGAGGGCATCTTTTAGGATCCTCTATAAGAATATGACATCATATCCCATAATTTCAAAAATTTTATTTTTGTGACGTCATCACTTTAAAACTCTAGAGCACTAGATCATCTCTGAGATCTATATAAATAACTGAAAGCCCTTTATGTTGACGATTTATTCAATATAAATAAATTTGCAGAACATGGTAATACGCTTTAAATGTTATCTTAAATGAGTTCTTTCTTGTGTTCCGTACTTGTAGACTTGAAAAAGTATAGCAATGTCAATTGATATCTGAAGCATTCCGCATATCCAAAACTGGACAGGTGCAACCTTGACAATGAAGTAACAAGTTTTGAAAACATCTCCTGAGAGCCACATCACCACCATTTTCACACTGTGGACAGAGGAAGGGAAAAGATACAACCATCTGGTCCTACACAAATAGCCAATTATTTTTCAGACTATGCTGGACTCTAAATTGGTAGTCTATCTTCAAGCCCTGGCGTAGGTCAATGTGCCAAGTTCTTGGGTGAGGCTCTTTACTCTTATAGTGCCTCTCCCGACGCAGGCGTATAAATGGGTACCAGAAAATTATCACGGCAATCTGATCTAGCAGGTAAAAGGTTAACAGGTGTTTTAGTCTGGACAAAAGCAAAGGGCACATGTATGACCCATCAGGCTGGAGCTTATTCTGGTTTCTGTAGCATGAAGTGATTAGGAGTATTTCAACCCTCCCCCCNGTCCATTGCAGGGTTACCCCCAGCATTAAATTTGCTGGTACCCATTTGTACACCTGGATAGAGAGAGGCACAGTGAGAGTAAAGTGTTTTGCCTAAGAACACAACCCAATGTGACTCCCTAAGCTGGCCAGGGCTCAACCCAAACCTCTCAATCTGGAGTCAAGTGCACTAATGAGGCCACCACGCCTTCACAATCTGACAGCAGGGGAGGGGGATAATTGGCAACAGACTAGCATCCCATTCTGTGATCCAAGGAAATGCAATACACCTAGTTGTTTCATGTACATTGTATAGAAACTGCACTTTAATACTCATCTTACAAGCTTACTAGTCAGTAACCTTGACAATGGCACTGGCTGTAATATCTAATTAAATGCCAATGATTTAAAAAGAATGCAAGATACAGTAAATTGGGGAAGGTACATGTAGCTTAGACAACTATGGACCTAAAATTGCAAGAAGTGGTTTAGTGACCTCGCCAAAGCAAAGATTAAAAGATTACAGGAGATGACCTGTAGACATACCTCATTCCTACTGTAGATTGATTCACATGATTTCGGTAGAATTGAGGAGCTCCAAGCATAGCTTCTGTGAACACTGCTAAGAATCCTATGAGTTCTACAAAAGTCGGAAAGCTGAGGAACAAGTAGGTAACATAACCACCAACCGCTACAAAAATCAGCACACACAACACATAATCAGAAAACTGTGTCCAATCCCAGAAGTGTCTTCTGTGAAAATCTGAAGAAAAACAAAAACCAACAACAGAGTATTGGGTAGCTGATGATATTTTTCATGACGCAGCTATGAATTAGATTTATTAGCTGTTCATGAGAGAGAAATTGTGTCAGGCAAATGACTTACTCATCAAGAGTAAACTGAGGAATAGACAAAAGCTTGGACAAATACTTGAAATAATGAAAATCAGACAAGTTATCCACTTGTATTTAATATAATACGTTACAAAATAACTGAGATACTACACGTGCTCTCATTGGTCGATAGGAGTGTTTAGATGAGAGTATGTAAACATGGTTGTGACGTTTTAGATTCACTCGTATTCTTGAGATATATTTTATAAAAGTAATAGAGTACTTTTTCTGTGTTTACATGGCCTTATTCAAACGCTTGGGGGGTTAGGAGAATTCTCGAAAGTTACGCAAACCCTCGACTGCGTCTTGGGTTTACATAACTGTCTCATAGTCTCGGAACCCCCCTTGTGTTTAGATGAGGCTATGTAAACTCAGAAAAAGTTCTCTATTGTGTAAATAGAAGATATTACATGCCCACACGTGGATACGAATTTTGTTTTTGAGTGTTCAACTCGATATCTCACTCATGAGATATGGAGTTGAACTCAAGAAGATAAAATTTGTATTGACACGCAGGCATGTAATATTCTGTTTATTATACAAACATACTAATGACGACGTTTTTGACGATTTTCCAAAAATTACCGATCACTTTCTAAAGATTTCCAAAGATTTTCCAAAATTGTTCTGAAGGCCAGACTAAGGCTTCCAAACATTTTCCCAACATTTCCGAAGATTACTGAAGATTGCTGAAGATTGCTGAAGATTGCCGAAGACAACTGAAGAAGATCCGAAGTTGTTTCGATCATACATCAACAAAAAGGAATGATATCTTCACAGTGTGAAAGATAAAAATAGTATGTTCACTGTGCTCGATGAAGATATGATTTTTAGTAAAAGGAAAAATCACTGGTGTTTATATAATAAACTCAAGTTATCTAACTTGGATGAGTTCAATCTGCTTCTAAGAAAAATGCTATGGCTAATGGCTAGCTTTGGCCTCTGCAGTGAGTGGTTTGAATTCAAGCCCGGGCCGGGTGTCTCTGCTTTCTTTTCTTAGACAAGACACTATTCATACAATGCGTCTCTCCACAAGAGTACTGGTGTATAACTGGGTATAAGCAAATTTAATGCTAGGGGGGTAGCCCTGGTGTCTTAATATGGCTGCATCCCCTTTTATTTTGTTCCAAGAGATTCTCTTTACACTTACCAAGAAATGATCTTTTTCTTGCACTCATGTCACTCTCTCTTCTAATTTTAGTGCAGAGCTGTAACATCATCAGCATCGCACCAATCATTATAAAGCTCTGGACTAATAATGGCAGTTCAAAACGACGACCAAACCTAGAAGACAAACAAGTATACCACTAGCATCAATATAAAAATTTATTTAATGTTATCACCTCTGATAAAGGGTCACAATTTTAGCACTCAATTCATGATTGATGGCCGTCGTGACAAGGAAAAAAAACAAGCATTGAGTTTAATAACATAAGTCATAAGTTTACTAATTCATCAAAGCTTAGGTTCGAGTTCTACCCATCCCATGAAGCTGAAACGTACCAAAAGAATATCCTAAGCACATTGGCGACAAGTAGAGCTAAGCACACATGCATAGAGAAGCCTTCTGCATCACGAGACTGTAAAATGTCCCAATACTGCGGCACATACGGAACAACTCCGCCAAAGATCATGGCGGCCGAGGAAATCCAAGAAATGATTTGAATGATCATTGCTCCTAGCCCCATATTTTCCAAACTTGCATCAACACCAGCGAGATCCACTGGATCGTGAAGAGCATTTACGTCGACATCCATGTGCTATTATCAAAATGTTAATGATTGACTATTAACTTGACGGTTCGTTGAGCTTCGATCTGTTGTTGCTACGAGAAATTTAAAGGTTTTCGTTTCGGTGACGTGTCGCCGTTCAAAGACCTCTCTCTCTGTGGGCAGCAGAAATAGATTATATAATTTTTCCAAAAGGTTTTCTCCTTCGTTCTGCTTCAAAGAGGACCACACAGAGATTTCACCATAGCAAGTTGTAAAAAAAAGAAAAACACTTCCAGCAAAAAAAACTTCTCACTTTCCGATGCACTTTTAAGTACTTTTGACTGATTCCTACTTGACGTAATGATGTCCACTGTACAAAAAAACTGTTTTGCACATCTCTTGCCCAGTACGAACGCGGTCAATAACAACATGGTGGAGTGACTGAACAATTGTTCGACAGCACCAAGATTTGTTCACTCTACCTGCTAAAGACATGGTAAGCTGTTAGTAAACATCCATTTCTTTTACTTCTTTCCAGAAATAAATACTTGCATTTCTGATTCAAAGGTCGATCGAGTCAATTCCGTGTCATGCAGCATACGGCTGGCCAAATTGCACTAAGCTTACGTAGAAATGACCAAGTTATTTCTAGAGAAGCTTTTTTAATCTGCTAGCTTTTTGAAAGTATTTAGCTTGAATAAAATTTCACTTTTGAAATGCAACATCAAATGCTTAAAGATCTAGCAGATGCCGAAAAAAAGAGTGACGTCTGTAGTATACAGCACTTCAAATAGAAATTTTGAAATCTGTGGTAAACAAGGTTGTCATCTGCTTTTGCACCCTTCATGAGCCTTTTCATTTTTATCAGTTGAAAACAACCTATGCTGGTATGGACTATGGACATTTTATACATGTGATGGGTCACCTCTAAAAGCAGAAATAGATGTTATAAGTAACTTACAACTGATTGTGTAAGATTGTACATTCATGTTAATTTTGACAATATGTCAATCAAACTGAAGTTATGACTTTGTTGCTTTCTCAGCATGGAAGGATCAAGGTGCGTACAACAGCTGAGCAAGCTGAAGCAAAGAGGAAAGAGAGAGAAAAGAAGCTAAAGATCTATAAAGAAACTACCAGCCACATCTATGAGAAGGTATATCCAACAAATATCAGCAGATCTGGAATTTTGCAAATTATTCAAACCCACTTGTGCCAATCAATATTGAAGTCAGTTCCAGCATAGATGAAACATGAAAGATGAATGAGGCTCTATCAAAGTTCACAAGTTAGAGTTTCATTTGATCCCACCTCCCAGATGCTTCTATATTGAGCCTTGCATTCCCTCACTGAATTTGATTCTTGTTTGAGTTATGGCTAGCCTATGTAGAGTTACACACTCTCCAGTTTTCTAAATAGAGTGGGTAGCTGAAAATTTAAAATAGGCTAGAGTAAGTTGAATAGAATCAATTTGGAAGATTAGGAAAGCCCTCTTAGCCAGTCATGTCCCTCAGCATTGCCTGTTGATTGTCATTCTTGTGTGATCTGACCTTATAATACAGTAGTCTGTAATCAGGATTCTTTTTTAGAGATCAGATTTCAGGCAGATCTTGGAAGGAGCTGTGCAAAATCTGCAAGCTGAACCAGTTCTCAGTGGATAAAAATAAGGAAAAAAGGTCCTAACTGCTGCAATTTACATGTATGTCTTCCTTGTTTTAGAGAAAGAATGGAGAAAAAGACAAAGAGTCACTTTCTTTAACAGAACAAGTACTTGCAGCTAACCCAGACTTTTCTACTTTGTGGAACTTCAGAAGGGAGATTTTCTTGTACATGAAAAATGAAAAGTATGTTTAAATAATAGCTTTTAGTTTTACATGAGCCACTAAGAGAGTAGAAATGGAACTGATATACCTTGCTGACAAAAATGACTACTTTTTTATGCTGAGAGACAGTGGACTAACCATCTTGAAGTGTTTGCAAGAATGTATTGTTCAAAGAAATCCAATTTTCTGTATAATTCCTTTAGTTCAGGCAAGATTTGCTCATCTGAAAGTCATTCTCACAAGCCCCGAACTATAGCACTATACATGTATATCACATGAGTATAATTAATTCAAAATTAATTAACATGACAACTGCTTTTCATAGAGTACCTCATTCTGTAACTTGGATTTCCGCAAGGATATTCCCCTTGGGAATCTTTTTTTGCCCATCATCAAGCAAAAGAAGTGGATAGAATCCTCCAGCCTGAGGAACAAAATCCACTTGCTCAGAACTCTTGGGCACAACTTTGTTGTCAGTCGTGACCAAGGAGTTTACACTGTCATAAATTAATTTAAAAATGAATAATTATCATGACTGAAGAATAAAAATAAATTATTGATATATGTGTAGCTTTTTTTAACAAATGAAGATAGAAATACAAGTCGTTACAAGTAAATAGGCCATTTTCAATATATTAAAACTCTAACATGGCTCCAAGGCTGGCTACCAGAAGTGCGAGAGCTGCGGAAATCAAGCCTACTCTGAGGCTTGGGGGGAATAAAACAAATTAAAGAAATCGCATTGAGGTTGAGGGATGAATAATTAAATTCCTTTGTTTTCTTCCCCAAACCTGGTAGCCAACTTGAAGTTAGAATTTTAATATATTGAAAATGGCCTATTATTACTTATTTTATAATTTATAGAATTTATAATAAAGGTCTTTTGATGGATCATTTAATTTAGTTGTGGTTAACTTACCATAAAATGATATTAAAGAGACAGTACATGAATATCAATTCTGATCTGAGTGAAATGCTGCATTTGAAGTCCACCAGATGTCATGCAAGAAATTTGCCAGAAGGAGCTGTTCTTTCTACAGAACTGTTTGCAAGTGAATCCCAAATCTTACAGTGTTTGGCACCACAGACAGTGGATCATGGAATTTATGCCGCAGCCTAACTGGAAGCAAGAGTTACATCTTTGCAACAAGTTCCTCTCATACGATGAAAGAAACTGTATGTTATTTATTGTTTGAATTTTTAAATAACAAGAATGCATCAAAATCTTTGTTTGCATACATTAATTGAGCATTAATTTATTGCACTTGATAGTAAAATAAAATAATTAACAACAATAATAATAATTATTATTGGACAAGGTTGAGCAAAATATTGTGATTTGTCACTGGAGAACAGATCAATTATTTGCCAAAGCCGAGGGCTGAGCCAAATAATATCTTGATCTACAAGACACTGACAAATAACGATATTTTGCGATAACTGAGTTCATTATTGTCATATCATTCCAATTTGTTTTCTTATTTAAATCACTCTCTGACAGCTCAAGGGAGCAATCTGCCATTTTTTACCAGAGATCATGGATTACAATATTATAAATGCATGAGCAGAATATCATTTGCCGCAAAACACATTTAGATGGTACTATGTGCGAGCAGACCATTATTTGTAGGCAGTTATTTGCAGGTCATGTGGTTGGCTCTTGGCCAGTGAAAAGGAAGAAAAAAAATGCATCGAATGATAAGACACTTTATTTGTAGCCCTTTTCATTTAATGCTAACTCATTTGCTCAATCTCCTTTATGGCCTTGTGCACATAAGGCCATATCTGATGGTAAATGACAAAAAATTAAACACCAAATATTAAGTTAACTAATAACTAATAACAGTTAGTCAGAATAATGATAAATTGACAGATACAGAGCATAAAGTTAGACTCTAAGGTTTCTTGGGAACATGTTAACTTACCGTTAGGTAGTAACTATAGTAGCTTTTGCTTTTATTTATTTATTTATTTTTTGAAGTTCACTGCTGGGATTACAGACGAATCTCTGTCAAGAAAGCTGAGGTGGCTCCTGCTGATGAATTTGACTTTAGTACAGAGAAGATCAAAGAAAACTTCTCAAACTATTCCTCATGGCATTATCGCAGCAAGCTTCTTCCACTGATTCATCCTGATCAGAGTGGAGATAAAGAAAGGGTGGAGGAAGGCGCACTTATGAAAGGTAAAATGGTAACTGATTAATGGCTAATTTCTTCTTCAGTTCAAGATGGTACCTTGTGAGAATTGGGAATGTGATAATCGTATGGATAGTGTCTTCAGTTTAATGACCTAAAGAAGCAAGATTTTTCCAAGGAGGTACGTTTGTACTGCTGTGGGTATGGGATGGGTGGTGTGGCATCAAAAACTAGAACCACCCCATGCCACAAAGCCCTCCACCCCTGTACCAAGAGTAGTTTTGTCCTGTCTTCAAATTTCTCTCGCCGTAAAAAATCCAAGATGGTACAGCTCCAGAATTGAGCATGCAGGGTAATGATTTTTGGTGTAGAAAGTACGTAGAGGCACTGTTCTATTAACTTGCCGTGTTCTGTTTGTAGAATTTGATCTTGCTCAAAATGCATTCTTCACTGATCCTTATGATCAGAGTGCTTGGTTCTACCACAGATGGCTTCTGGGAAGAGGTAGTGTGCCATGAACATATTTTTCATTATAGTATAGTCAATAATTAATATTGTTTCTTTTATTGCTAACAGATTTTAAGTCAGAAAGGTTGTAATAAAACTGTAGTTTAATTTTGATCCTTTTTCTCTTTCCAGCCAGGCTGCAGATGGATATATTGTGCCTGTACATGAGGTGTAATGATACTCTAATAACAGTCATTGTACAATTTACTCAACCAGTCCAGGTAAGTGAACAAGTCATTGCAGTTGAACTAAATTGACAAATTTTGAATCTACGTGCATTGCAGGCCTATGATGTTGGCAAAAAAAAAAAGGAAAAAAATATGTAAGTCATGTAATTTGTATAGACAGGACAATCCCCTAACTAGTTTGAAAATTTTTATTATGACCAGTTTTATCTCTGTCAGTGTTTTGTCAGGAGATGAATGTGTTTTTTTCTCTTCCAAGGTACCTAAGGAAAATCCACTTGTCTCTATTGACTGTCGAGAGGTTACTGGAGATTGGAATAACTCTTTTCACAACAATCATCCTTCTACTGTTTGGATATCCTTTTGTGCTGTGACCGTTTTTTTTGTTTTGTTTTGTTTTGTTTTGTTTTTTTGGTTGTTTTCCATTCTTCAAGTGTTGATGTTGACAGAAGTGAAAGATAGATTGTGCAGTTCCAGATACTCCCCCCACAGAGGAGATTGGAATTTCCAGGGGCGGGGGTGGGGGTGGGGGCTCTTTAATGCCAAAACATTTAAAGAAATGTATCAAGCTTAACTGGAATTTCTAGAGGGGTGGGGGGTCTGAAAAAAATCCCTTCCATGGGGGAGGTGTGAATATTTTCTGGAACTACACATTTTAAAGTACACCTAATAGTCTTTTAAAGCATTGCCTGGAACTGGGAAGAGAATAAATGAAATGACATATTTATTTTATTATTAATTACTAATAAGCTAAATCCATTCAGTCTTACATAAACTGGCAATAACTGTTTATTGTCAATTGTTGTTATATTTCAAAGCAGTTTTCCTGGATTGTCCTTTTCCCTCTACTATTTACTGCACTTTTCCTTAACTATATTTAAATTTTTAGCTGTAATTACAATTCTCTGAATGCACCTGATGAAACAACAATTAAGGTGCAATTTGTGGATGGAAAACTGGAACGTAGTGTGGTGTTGCCTAAAGGTTTGTATCCTGTGTGGTTTAATCAAAAACAATCCTTATGTCACTTTGAATCACTGATCAGGAATAATTTATTGTGCATGGGGAAAAGTACATGGACATAATGTTAAATCCCTCTTAGAAAATGTGTGGTTATAACAATTCAAAGTTTGTGTATGTCATCTCCTCCCTAAGCGTTTTTTGTTGAATGCTAGTAGTGATATTTACCTACTTAGATAAAGATACCAGAGTGCGAGAAAGTGCAAGTATTTTTATGACAATTTCTGCTTACTTTTACTTTGCCTCATTATGATTAGGTCAAATATTTGTACTTTACCTTTGTTTTGGAGGCTTCTTCACAATGGAAAGGGTTTTATTTAAGCAATAGAGCATTTTTTTCCGTGTTTACATAGCCTCATCTAAACACGAGGAGGGTTGGGAAATTCGAGACAGTTATGCAAACCAGAGACATAGTTGAGGGTTTGCATAACTTAGGAGAATTCTCCCAACCCTCCGTGTATTTAGATGAAGCTATGTAAACATGGAAAAAGTGCTCTATTGCTTTTATAAAATAATTCTCAAAAAATACGCGCAAATCTAAAACGTCACAACCGTGTGTACATACTCTCATCTAAACACACCTATCGACCAATGAGAGCGTGTGTAGTAGCTCAGTTATTTTATAATTCTGTAATACTATGTAAAAATAATATATATATGGGGTTTTCTTTAGGTGAATCAGAAGTGTGGTCCACTGCTAGCGAGCTACATCTTTTTAGGTAAGTACAGACTTGTGAATCTTGTGACAAATAATCATGCTGTCTAAACTACAAACAGTTTCTCCTTTCTCTTTAATTCATGAAGTGAAAAGCGAAATAATAGGGGCATATCACATATCAGAGTAATATCATATATCAGACACATATCAAATCAGACACGTATCAGAAAGACAAAATGTTTGAATCATTACTAGTATTGTTTGTGACATTATTTGTGATTTGTAAGGCGAGTATATTTAATATTACTGAAAGACTGCCCACAGGAGCTTTGAAGGCATTTTAGCAGTGACTGTAGTCATTTCCATAATAGCTCGTGATCAATGATAGTTATAAAGGAACTTTTCTCTCTACTTCTGACTATTACTACTAATTCCTAGTTCTCCTCTGGGAGAATACTAGGGCCACCATGAGACATAAGAACTATATCGCCCTCTTATCTGTTGAAGATAGCTGCAATGTCCAAAGATTCTGAAAAGTGTGTTTCAAAACAGAATAAGAGTGCCTGTTGTCGCTTGTGTCTCTCTTACAATCCTAAATGATAGAGTAGAAAATACATGGGGAAAATAGTTGTGTTGGCATGTGGTTTTATAGCTTGTATTACATTTAATGTTGTCCTCTACTGTGTTAATCATCAGAGCAGAGCTGACTGCCGTTCATAGTTCTGTTCTCCAACAAGAGTTAGATTCTTGCCGACTTTTACTAGAAGAGGAACCAGACAACAAGTGTAAGTATGTTGCAGAGGGGTTTAATTTGTAAATTGGTTAGTTCTTTTTAACCTATTAGTCAGAGAACAGGGTGAGTGTTTACACAAATTAGAAATGTTAGGGGATTTGTATAGAAATAATTGAGGTTGATATTTTCTTTCCAATCATAAAATGATATTAATGGTAATAATAAATAAGTTGATTTACAATGTATGTGCCTGGAAAGCGTAGCTGAAGGAAAACCCTGTACTAACAATTGATGATAAAAGCAAAGAATAATTAAAATTTGTTTATTTTCTGATGTCCTTAAAATACCTAGTAGTTATTAATTAAGTTGTCATGAACACACCAGAAGTTAACACTTCAGCTAATCACAGATTTAAAATGGTACCAGTCACCTTGCCACCAGGGAAGTTTGCCACCAACGAACTCGACACCATTTGTATGTCATTCTGTTTATTTATCGGCAATGAATGATACGAGCACCTCACCCCCAGTTGCTGGCAAACAAGTCTGACAAGGTTTCTTGATATCATAATGTAGGGACAATGTTAACAATGGTGTTATTGATGCGTGCACTGGACCCACTGCTACATGAAGAGGAAACAGAGTTGCATCTAGAAAAACTGACACAGGTTGACAGCTACAGACAAGGTTACTACAAAGATCTTAGTAAGTACACAAACACAAATACCAATTTGATGGGCTTCCATAATTGCTTGATTGATTGATTGATTGATTGATTGATGGAATGTCTGATTGATTGATTTATTGACTGACTGACTGACTGACTGATTGATTGACTGACTGACTGATTGATTGATTGATTGACTGATTGATTGACTGACTGATTGAGCGAGAGAAGTGTGACTGACCGACAGGCAATTGGACAAAGGGACTGAATTACTGACTGACTGACTCTAATGGGCTTTACAGTGTTTTTTAATGCATCTCGCTGTTGCCTTTTAGGAAGAAAATTTAGATTAGAAAACACCATTGAGAGGCACCGCTCAAACAAGGTTGGAAAATGGCTTGATTCGTTACACCCTTAAATGTAACTCTGTCTTTGCACAAATTCTTAAATTTTATTTTCGGAAGAAGTTCTTTCTACTGATGTCAGTAGAAAGTACTTGTCGTGCGACTTTACGCGTTTTGTGATTGGTTGGAAAATTGAGACCAAATTTCCTGCATCGATTTTGCACGTGGTCTGCACTTCGAGCCAATCACAGAGCCCTTTATATGCTGTTGCCACTTTTCAGGGGCTTTTCTTTCTTTTTTAGCAGAAGTTTGTAGAATGGACTGGAAAGGCTGTTTCCACCCAGTTTACAATTGGATTATTGGAGCGACGTTTGCTTTCTGTAGTGATAATCAGAAAACTGGCGTGATTAATTTTTTTCCTGCTTCTTTTTAGGCGGAAACGAAGAGGTCAATTGATTTATCTAAAATGGTAAGTGTTATATATTTGCTAAGAAGTCTTGCGTGCAAAGCTGTGGTGATCTCTTGTGTCTTGAAAGCTCTATCATGCAGTTCAAATATATCATGTTTCATATATTCACCCGTAAATGGAACTGAGTGTTGCATGGCTGCGCATGGAAGCATTGTTTAACATTCAAACGGAAATCTAATGAAAAATATCACCTTTTTCCCAAGTCATCAAGAAATTTTTATTGGAACATTAGTTCGCTTTCGATTTAACAAATGGATTATGAGCTCGAAATTTCTATCGTGCGATAGTTGACAAGGGCGCAGCCTGAGTCAACTATCACGCATAGAAATCGAGGGCGAATAATCTAATTGTTTTGGTATAAATCTATTAGTCGTTCAAAACTTCATCTAAATCCTCTTCACAGACACTTCGAAAGCGCAAAGAAGCGGCCGCAAGTTTGTTAACAAGAGCTCACTGCTACGCGACTCACTATCTACAACAGAAGAATAGATAGTGAGTAGCGTAGCCAATCAGAGGACGGCATTCGTGATAGAACGCAAGCAGATTTATAACAAAAGAAGAATCGAATGGTCCAACATTATAACTAAGCTTACACATGCGCCGAGCCGTGACACCATCCCTGTAACTATCTCAAGAAAAGTCACAAATCACATACTTGTTCGTTACCCTTTCTTTCTCGTAGGACTTGACGTCTCTATCTCACATGGATCAGCTAGTGCTTATGAAAGAAGTCAACTTATCTCACAACAAACTAACTTCACTGGACGAGTGTAACATGCTACAATGCGTCAACATCTTGGATGTCAGTAATAACAGTCTGCGGTGCATCACTAAAAGGCATGCGCTAAGACTTTGCTCTCTGGAAGAACTCTCCCTTTCTAATAATGGTATCCTTTAAAGTAGTCGCTTAATTAATGCCTTCCTAGCTCTAGTCACGTACGGAAGCAAATGTCCATACAAGTGGTGAAGCTCTCGTAAGCGGCCGCGTGTTCAAATTTAAAGGGTAATAGAGCATAACGACATAACGGCATAATGACATCTATTATGTCGGTAATGTGAGCATCGACATAAACATATAGGGAAAGGATTATTTTTTTTCTCCCTTAATTTTCTGATGTCGTTATGATTATGTCGCAGGTGTGAACTACACCTAGCAGAGTTTAAAACAAAGAAAAATCCAGTTTATTATTTCCTAAGGTCACAGTAGTCGCGGCCACCTTTGAGACCAACAAGTTTCGTGTGGGCAGTTGCTGAGGGGAGCTGGCCTCTTACGAGAATCGCGGGACTGCCAATAAGAGCTACCACTTTTATCTTCTCGACAAAGGAATAAAAACTCGTGTACGAAAACGACAAAATTAACATAGAACTGTCTTCTTCGGTCCGAAACGAATAGAGTACTGAGGACAGAAAATCTTTGTCGTTAAATGTTGTTTGAACCTGTGATAAAGATCGTTTGGTGTTGTTCCTTGCTCTTGAATTGTAAACTCTTTGCCTAGATTTGTTACTTGTGTTTTTCTTGACCTAACATGCAGATATTTCAGATATAGATTGTTTGCAAAGTCTTCAACATTGTACATCGCTCAGGAAGCTCGATTTACGCGGAAATCCATGTTGTCAGTTACCTGGTTACAAAGAAGCTGTGAAATCGCTGTTAAAAAATCTTCAAGAGTTGGATGGTGAGAACAGTTGACGAATCCTAACAGAGAACGCACAGAATTTTACGATTTTAGCGAAAACGCCGACGCGGTGATCTGAGGCCCACAGGAACAAAAAAACTCTAAGAAATGGCAACGATTGCTGTCGATAGACCATTTTCGTTTTCTCGGTATTGGACTGGAACTAGCTTGAAACTGAGGCTAACGCGGGGCAGTCTTTTCAAATGCAAATGACATTAATCTCTTTTTAATGATATTCCCCCGTATAAGCCTCATTGCACGCTAATTCCAGTCCAGTACCGAGAATAGGAAAATGGTCTAATCAGGATCTTAAATGAATACTATAGCGCGTAATTAAGAAAAATATTAGAAAATAAATGGAAATCGTGACTTTTTTAATTTTTGCGGAACACATGGTACAAAATGGACACAGTAATAAAAGTTCTTTTTGGCTTTTAAGTTTTGCCTTTACATAAAATAGTGTAAAAGTAACATAGCCCGGACAATTGCAAAAGTGGTCTAAATTCATCTTTTTAAATTTTTTAAACACGCCTGAGGGAGACATGTGTACCGATGTATCGCTGATGGCGACCACGCAACAAATTTGGACTGTGGCTGTAAAACAAACGAATTACAGTGCGGACTGGGAGAGGGTTGTGGTAATTTAGATAGGGTTAGATAATAAATTCGCGGTGACGGAGAAATATATAGGATGATACAGGGTAAGCAGGTGTAAACAGGCCGCGTAGCACCTACATAATAATATATCAAACACGAAAGACCGTGTTTGACCACATTTCCAGGCACCGAGAAAAGAGTTGAAAATACAACGCGTAGCGGAGTATTTTTGAAAAACTGAGATTTACAATGAAACGTTTCAGCGCTTTAATGTACATCCTTATAAGGAATTCATTGATGCACGAAGTAAACCTAAATTATAATAATGATTTAAGATTTTAAAACGCGCAGACAAGGCAGACTGAAGACCACATTACAGGATTCAAAGCAATTCTAAAACGAAAATTAGAAACAAAAAGAGCTTTGCCGGCAAAAAGAGAAATTATTTTAAAAGGTTGGAAGTTAGGTCTTTGCTTAGAATTGTTATTGGGCTTTTATATTTTTTACATGCGCTATAACTGTTAGCCTGGCAAGCATCAAGACAGATAACCTTCTATTAAATATACATGTCAATAAAACACAACACGGAGGGCTGAAGTTAATTATCCAATCGGAACGCTTCATTACCGTTCCCTTATTAGACCGGATAAGTATCTATTAAAATAAGAGATTTATTAAACGACTTTTTAAAACTTGGTTAAAACCAAGATTGCTCTTGACCGGACGATAAGAACATTAATGTTTCCATCGCTGGAAGACTTCAGAGCCGATATTTTCTAAATGTGAGGAATTTTTACAGAGCAGCTTCCTGTAATATTTATATGTTCTTCAGTGAGCCCAGTTTTGCGTGTTTTGAACTCTTAAATTAACTAAATTCTAATTTTAGCTTACTACGTGTATCAATTGACTCACGTATCGACCCATCGTTTAGTTGAGCACTTAAATCCACGGTGAGCGATGAAAGCCAATAGCCGAAAAGTGCAGCTAATTTCCTTAACTTTTAATTGCGTAATCGGTGTGTCCGATTCGCTCATCTCGAGGACGTAAATCAAAGATCAAGGAGCAGAAAAGTCCGTTAGATGATTAATGGAATCGAAAGAGTTTGTGACGGAATAGCTTTTACATGTAGTACCTTCGGTACTCTTTTTGCAAAAGTTGCCAAAGAAAACCAATTCAATCCCGGAAGGAAAAAAAAAAAGCACACACACAACAGAGAACTCGTGATTTGCATACACGTCCGTGCAGATGACAANATAAACCACGGGTAAACCTAGAACCGCGCTCGGCCCATGGCCGCGCGGTTAATAAAGGCCTTGAGTTGAAATTCACCGATTTGAGCTTTTGCAGAACGTCGGATCTGTTAAGCAAATATAGAGGGACTATTTGTGATTTTACGAGTGACCACTGCATTGCCAAATCAGGCTACTCATTTGGTTTCGAATTTGATAATTTGTTTCGCTTCTGGGTAAGTTATTCGTTTTCTTAGTTCCTACTACAATAATGGGCCGATTTCAACTCATCAGCTCGCAGTTTGAATGGAGACCATATAGAACAAAGCATAACTAACGGCCAACAAAAATATTACTAATTAATGTCATGATACTACTTAAAATGTATTTTTCTAAATTTATTTCGAAAGACTGCATTTGCCCGTTGCGAAGAGACCCCGATAGCTCCAGTTCCTCGGAAGAACCAAAGAAAAATGGTTACCACAGATACTTTAAATCTAGATTTCCTTTTAGACATTTTCCCGCGTAATGATTTCAGTTCGAGCGGAAATAGCGCATGTATTCGAGGCAGCGGCTTTTAGTCGAGGTAAAAAGCTGTATAAAATTAAATTGCTCCACACCTGACCAAAGCGAAATTCGATCAAGAACTCTGAAAAGGTAAGGATTCAAGAATGATGTCGGCAGACGACCAAATCTGCCCCATCCCAGGGAGACTTGGGGAAGCTCCTGTCGCTTTCACCACCACTCCCTCCGCTCGCTAAGATAGGTAAGGCTTTAAGGTAAAGGTTTTCCACTTTTGCCACTCCTGGTCGCTTCATGCTACTGAAACCGGGATAAGCTCCTGCCTGGTTCGTATGCAGACTTTATCTTACCTAGCCTTTCCACTTTTAGTCGTTAACAAGTCAAGATCTCGCCGAAAATCTCATACTCTACCTACCATAGCTTGTAAGTTTTGACCAAGAGATAATGATCGTCTCTTGTTTTGACCCACAGTTTTTGCCAGGGTAAATGGTAGCAACCGAAGCTGAGAATTTGCCTTCAAAACCCATCTTGTCGGCCACGAATTCACACAGAACTGAGATGACACGTTCATCGCTGATGGAAAGGGGAGGCTTTAAGATTGAGCCGTGTCGGGGATTGAGTTGCTGTCACTGATCAATGTTTCTCTATGTCTAAACATTAACAATAGATTTCACTTGAAACATCAGCCAAAAATCCATGTACAGACATGTAGGAGGTTGTATTGTTGAATCAAGAGATTATCAAGGTAATCTCTTGATTGAATTTATCTCTCCCCTCCCCCCCTCAAAGAAAAAAGATGACCGTGGCAGGCTAGTAAATAAGGCGTCATATAATCTACCATGGAAGCGACTTGAACATGTTTCACTTTGCACTATTTGCGTGGGCATATTGCTCTGATGAGTTAGTTTCCAGAGACTTCCGTTATATTCAACGAGACTGAAGTGTGACGCGAAAATAAGACCTTAAGTTCATAACATCCCCTTTTGTCCTTAATAACTCTGCTTTCAACTCTTTCCGTTGTAAATAGTGCCCTTCTTTTCCGTCAATATAAAAATGATCTTATCCTTAATTATTCTATTTTCGACTCTTTCCGTTATAAAACGTCTCCTTTCTTTCCGTCAGTATTTTTTCAAATGGTTTTGCCCTTATTAATTCTATTTTTAACTCCTTCCTTTATAAAAAAGATTCCTTCTTTTCCGTCTTGATTTAAATGCTCTTGTTTAGTAATTTTGTCAATTCTTTCCGTTATCAAAACTTCCGTCTTTTCCGTCATTAACTTGTCATTAATGCAAGGTTTCTGTCGTATAAAAGTAGTAAGAGGTAGCCATTATTCGACCCAGTCAAAACAAAACAGTCCGCAAACGCGAGTCTCATCCAGTTCTCCAAGTCAACGTCGTGCATGGTAAGTTTGTTTTCTCTGAATCGTGAATTACAGTGTTTCTTCGCTGGCATAATTTGGCCAAAAAAAAAAACTCCTGCCAGGTATGTTGAAAAAATAACAGGCGAGGTATTTGGCGGGAAATTGCGACTTTGAAGCACCTAAAGGAACGAAATCTTCGCAGGCATAATTTGAAAGAAAAAAAAAAACTCTTAAAGGTATGTTAAAAAGATATTGAGGCGAGGTATTTGGCGGGGAATTACGACTTCGAAACAAAGGATTTGTCCAACACTCCCAGCATTTTGAATGGCCGCGTTATATAAACCTTGAAAGACGTATAATGCATCAACTTAAATGTTGGAAAAGAAGACCGCTAATTAGAATTTGTCGCCTGACAAAATATTGCTCAAGACAAAAAGGTTTTTCAGTTTATACATAAATCTGAATTCTTTACAACACGAAGTTAATGATAAAAACCTTTAGATAGTAACTCTCAAGGGAAACGATGTAAACTCGGCGATCGGCATACTTTAAAGTCCGTGTGCTGAAAGAATAAAAATAAAAATAAAAATAATAATAATAATAATAATATTTAGAAAACTTATTTCTCGTTGCAGGTCGGCAGATCTTTAATGTAGATGTAGATGTAGAGTGTAGATGAGGCCGTATAATCAGCCTATATCACATTTGATACAGTAAGAGGTACAGTAAAAAGATCGAGTTAAGAACTTGCGCTGGAATAACCAAGTATTTTATCCACCAGATGCCACCTTTAATTGTGAAAAGTTTTCCGTTTTTGTCTTTGTGCTCGGAGATCTTGTTGTCTAACGTTGTCTAATTCATTTCCGATATTATGCAGAAAGAAGTAGTTTAGCTAAGGAAGAAAATGCAGACTTCTTTTGTTAATGAAAGGTGCATTTGTGAGTGATGCTTAAAAGCATCCGGCTGAGGTTAACCAAATAATGGAGCAAAATTCAACAACCTGCACATTTATATTGCACGATTTATATTTTTTTTGAACAAGACATAATTGCTTTCAACTTATACGTATATTTATCAGTTAACTCATTTATAAATTAACCTCAAATTCCTGCTCTTTTATTATTTAAAGCCGGGAAACATTCTTGTTGAAGAAAGCTTTCATACACTGGACTACCCAGGCGGAATATTCGGTCGATTGATTGAGAATAATCAGGTAAACTATGAATGACAATATTTTGTTGAATGAAAAAAAAGTAATGATTGAATTTTTTTCTTTTCTGTTTTGTTTTTTTTTTGTTGGAAAACAAAGAGTTTGCCAAATGGAGTTCAACTTTCGGGGATTTGATATGTGCGAATAGGAAAGACGCTCGTCGATACTTGCTAAGAAACTGGAGGGCTATCAGATGCCACCTGCTCAATCCATCCAAGTTTGACATCTTTCAATCAAGCAATCGGTCGGTCGGTCGGTAAACCAGTCGATCGATCAAACAATACTTAAAGTGATCAGTACGTATAACAGCCGGTTCACAGATGCGCCACCAAGATACAAAATGAAAAGAAAAATCTTCAGGGAAAAACTGTCGAAGCAATTCAGAAAAGTTGAAAAATNAAAACTGTCAAAGCAATTCAGAAAAGTTGAAAAATTACAATTGGGTCGAAGAAATTATTTTAAAAAATGTACACAGTATTTACGAGGTAAAAACAAAAGAAATGCACAGACCATTTATTTCTGGTTGTCCTGGATTTGTTTCAGGCCTTGATTGTTTTCCCATATCTCAATATCATAATATACATAGGGAAGGATATTACAGTGTGTTTTATGCTGACAAAACTACTATATTGTCTTTATCACAGGCTAATACTACCAATAAAAACGGGTCTTTCATGGTGGCTGGAATCTCGAATCACACCGCTGGACACCAACATGGCGGGAGAAGCTGCTTCGTCCCTGGAATATCCCAAACATTCCAACGCGATTACTTTTATTTCACTAATGTTGTGTTCACACCAGTAATTACGCTTTTAGGGATCTGGTCTGTCGTGTCAAACGGGTCGATCTTGATAGCGATCCTAAAGGGTGGAATTCGAATCCGCCCGGGATTTCTCTTGTTATGTAGCTTAACACTGACTGATTTTCTCTGGGGAGCGCTGGTTACTCCAGTGTATCTGAAATTCAGGTTTAAAGAGATTGTTAATGGCTACTTTTGCGCTAATCGTGACGACTGGCAGGACCCTCTTACGGTGGCATCCTTCTTCTTGTGTTTGTTTGGCACGGTGGGTAGTCTTGCCGTAATAAGCTTGGATCGCTATTTGGCTATTGCTAAGGCGATGTGGTATAAGGCCTCTGTAAAACCCTGGCATGCCCGTTTAGTGTGCATTGGCGTGTGGCTTCTCTCCAGTTCTATTATCACTGCGAAAATAACGCGCGTTGTGCCACGAGACGCGATAGAAGGGGTAGAGGCTGGTTATGTGATAATATGCTCTTGTTTCACTATCATCGCTCAGGTTTTGACGCTTTATGTTCTTCATAAGCATAACAGCTTAGTAGCCCAAATTGCCGGGTCTGGGGCAACACCGGGAGCGGGGAATAATCCAGCTAACATAACTGCCGCTATTGAGCGCAAATTAACAGTAACTACCAGCTGGGTTGTGGGAGAGCTCGTCCTGATTTTGATCCCATGTGCTATTGTTGTAATTATTTCAAAAATAACCGATATCCCCTTCTCCATGCTTATGGAGCCATTGTTCTTTCCAATCTCCTCGCTTGTTTCCAGTGTAAACCCAGTATTGTACCACCAAAAAAATCCTCAGTTAAGACAAGGTGTGTCCAGACTACTGAAATGTCAATAAATGTGTTTAAGCGAGTTTTGTTGCTATTTTTTCTGTTGTTGTTGTTGTACTGTTCCCTCTCTTTGAATGGAAGTTCCTTCACCCCTTCCCTCATGCGGCCTGCTGTGCAGGCTTATTTTAGTAGAAATTCAGTATTTCTTCGCGAAATGTTTGGCCGTCACATCTTGAATTTTTTGAAGCAGACCAATATTGTGGAGGGTGGGGGGAAAAGAAAATTTCTACCAA